GTCCCGGCCCGACGTTCCCGGACCCGCCATCCCTGTCCGCCCGTCGTCGTTCCCGTGCCATCGAGTCCTCCTCGTTCCCTCCCCCCTCCATGCCGGCCGTGTGCCGCTCCCGCGCCCGCTGCCTGGGCTTGCACGACCTAAACGAGATGACTCGTCGCGAGGACAGAGTGGAGAGCGGCGTCGGGAGGAAGAAGACGACGCACCTCGCCTCTCTTCCTCCGTTGCCGTTTAAGAAGAACGAGGACGCCGGCGACGGGAGAGAGAGAGAGAAACGCGACGCAGTACTGAGAGGAGCGAAGCGAACCACGGGAGGGGAGGTTAGGTATCAGAGGCCGTCCGGAGAGGAGAAAGAAGATGGCCCTGCGGCCCTCGTGTTACACAAAGAGATCCGCGCGCGTCCGCTTCTAAAGCTCGATCCATACGCAGCCACGGCGACGCGGCTGCTCCTCGACGCTACTCGAGAAATCGTTTCGCGCCGATGTGAATTGCGAACCGTCGTCGTCGTCGCCGTCGGCTTCGTAGTCCTCGTCGCGCGAGCCGATTTCTTTTTCGACTTCCCGGGGACAAGGATTATCAACGGTGTCGCGGCTCTCGTTACGTTTCTGTCCCCGCCTTCGTGTGGTAAGGATCAATGGAGAATGAAACTCCAGTTCCGAGCATAACGTGGATTCGGAGTACACTCGGATAGATCGAACGCGTTGCTCTAATTTCAGTTGGTTTTCTCTTTGCCAGTTAACGGCTGCTCGTCTATACTCGCGGGGAGTTTAACATCATCGTGTTGCGATAGGTTCGCCGGCGATCGATACACGCGGTCACGATGCAACGGTGACTTCCGGGCACGACATATGTTCGCGGAGACCCGGTTAGCGATGAAATTGTCTTGTCCCGTTGATTCCGGGGGTGAACGACGGGGCACCGGATCCCCTGTCGCCCTGAAACTAGGAAGAGGTTGCGCCCGGGAACTGTGTCAAGGTTACAATAAATATGCTCTCCTGGCGTCGCTTTCGAAGGGATCAATCCTCGTTAATCTTTCACCGAGCTTCGCGAACACACACACGCGGCCGCGAAGCACACGTGCACATACATACGGCCCGTTACGCAACGAGCGCAGTTTGCATCTTCGCGGATACTTGGGGCGCCGAGTATCGGCACCGACCGCCTACTTGCTCGCGAAAATATTTATCTTTCCCGCGGCCACAAATCTCGTATTTACGAGCCACGGCGAACGTACGAGTTTCACCGTAAACACCGCCGCACCGCGTCGTGCCCATGGAAAAATACTCGTCTGAAAAACAAGGGAGTTCGTAACTAATACATCAACGCGCGCCATCGGGCACCGAAAGGTTTGCGGTTTTATGATATTGAGGCACAGTTATCAGACGTCCGGGATTGACTCGAACACTCCCGGTATCGTACTCGCGTCCGGAATCGTGTCCTGGATTGACTGGTCGGACAGGTTCAGAGAGAATGGATTGTTAATTCGTACATGCAAGAATAAACGGAATACGAAACTTTGGCAATGCACTTTTTTTTAATGTTGGAGTACGTTTCGATCATCGAGTGTGTTGATCTATGATGTCCTTTTATTCTTCCGCGACAACTTCCGTTTTTTACACAAGGATGTGTAATTTATATGTTATACGGTTTCTTAACATTGAAATTAATGTTACATTCGGTAGCCAGACTGAGTTTACTTAAAATGGTAACCCTTATGATCTCGTTTGATGATCGAATCACACTTTCCACTTTTCGTTTCGTTACATACCGTCGTCTTTGAAGGATCATTATCTTTCGCTTGGCATTAGTCACGTGCCAGAGCCTCCACACGTGGTACTGAATTATTTTGCAGACTCGCGAGCGTAGGAAACTCGTCTCTTGTATGTGCACGTATATCAAGCGGTATTCCACTGCTTTCATTGCTCGACTCGATTCCACTTCCCACCCCGCGCGAAATTTGCGTGGCAGTCAACGCGTTAACCCTTCTGTGTGAACAACCGAGTACTCGGATATCCATTCTTGTATTTGTTTAGGTTCTCGAATGGCTTTCCATTCACTGCATACTTTTACATGGATTTTGCATCGTTAACATTCAAATTTATGTAAAAAGATTTTAGTCAATCAAACCTTCGAGAACCGTGAACATTTAGTTACCCCCACAAGAGTTAACCCCAGAGACCAATCCCGATTCTTCTATGAAACCCAATTTCCAATATTCGGAACAAAACATTTTCCCATCAAACCATGTTAGTAAAAGGATGAAAATGATTAAACCATCACTGTTACGAATACCATCGTCATCCATCAGGCGTCCAATCGTGACGCCGCTGTCTGCTTACAATTGAATTTTCTCGATGACCTTTTCGATGGTTACCAGCATCAGAACCAGTGAACTATAAGGGGTTAAAACTATGCGCGAAGATTACGATGCGGTCGCCGGTGCCGCAGCGGTTATTACCAGACATTATCTCGCAGGTGTCCGCGCGGACGGGCGAGCGCAGCGCAGCGCAGGACAGGACAGGACAGAAATTCACGTAGCCGGTAAGAGGAGAGGCGTTCGTTAGGCTTTCACGAGTTAAGCTAGATAGCCACGGGCATTGCGTACGATCTCCACCGCGTATCGCATCCATTCGGACGGCGACGTGCCTTTTTTCCCTTCCTCTCGTTTTTCCCCCCTCGTCCTCGTCCCGATCTCCCTACCCTCGCGACCACGGCCCCCGCCCGCCTGCACGCCGACCATCCCTTCCACCGTCTTTCGATCCTGGAACCCCCTCTCAGCCCGTTTCGCCCTCGCAACGTGTCTCTCGCTCTCCCTTCCGCCCTGTCCCGCCAACATCCCTTTCCTTTTCTTCTTTCTTTACGCGTCGTGGTTCGCGAGGTACGCGACCGAACCCAACGAACGATTCCTCTCTTCCTCCGGATGGGAAACAACTGTCCTCTCCCGATGGTTTCGAGCCGGCGCGCAACGGCGACGCCGAAGAAGACGACGAAACGCGAGACCGAGCACCGGCTTGCTCTTCCCAGCGAGATGCTCGGGGCAAGGAGGGAGACCGGAAAAAGCACGCAAGGGGACTTTCTTTTCGCCGCGCCTCGATTCTTTCGATCCGACGATTCTACGCGCGAAACGATACGCGAAACGCCTCCCCTCTTCGAGGAGGGATGGGTGGGGAATTAAACGCGAATCAACGACGCAGTTGATACTGCTGATACTGGTAATTAATATAATGTAACGAATCGCGCGGCGAGCGGTTCACGCGCACGGAAGATCGTAAGTGGATTATCGGTAATTAACGGTGAATCGGTATTGTTCGTTGGTACCGTTTCACCCCCTCCCCCCCTCCCGCCTCACTCATCCCCGCGTTCGTTACCACGAGTGGAATAAACCAGGGAGCCGTTGTCGGCGGATTTTCCCGTGATTCTCGAACAACGACGTTGTTCGCTCGTGGAGAATAAGTTTTCTCCGGTTACTTAGCGTTCGACGCGGGGGCGGGACGCGACGGAGACATTTCCCATCGACGCAGGCATTCCGACGTTCGCGTTTTAACGGATATTGGCAACGCGGGAGCCGAAAGGAACGGGCTCCTCTTTCTCGTCAGATAAGAAACGAGCGTCCCCCAATGGTTTCGAGTCGGCGCAACGCGAACCGCTCCATGCCGAGGTACGGGAACGACAACGAGGACGACGACAACGACGACGACAAAGTGCGAGCTGTTGTAATGAGTTTCCACGAAGCCCCTCTATTTTCAAGATTGCATCGAACACGGCCGGGATCCTCGTCGCGCACCGACGACGGTTTTTCTTCGTTTCTTCCTGCTTTGCATCCGTCGCGGCATGTAAATAAGGAAGCGCATTATGACGCAACGAGACTAATTGCACGTTACTGATAACTGACACTGGCGAATGTAGAAACGGAGGCGCACGGATGACGCCGCAACCGATTCGGCCACCGCGTGAATTGATAATCCGGCGGGATCCGCGCACACCGTCGGCGCGAGCATTTGATCCGACTGGAGAATTTCGTTTCGATCGTCGCACGCGCGGATCGAACGGTATCCTGAAATAAACCGACCAATGGAAGGACTCCGCGTCGCGTATCCGCGATAATACTATTTACCGCGACGCCGATATCCCGGCGAACGCCAATTTTTATTACGGCGAAGCCTCCCGTGTGTCAGAATTGATACGCGGACAAAAGGGGCTCGGATGAAGGAAGTTTCGGATCGCGCACCGCCGATACCGAATTTCATTTATTTCGTCGGAGATTACGGAAACTGTCGGTTTGTCCAAGCTTTTAAGAATTCTGTGTATTTTTGGCAGCTTAATCGTGGAAATTCTTATCGTTTGAATTCGAGCAATCGATACGGTCGCTGCTGGGGGACATTGTGCTCGAATAATGGGAAATTCGGATGGATAAAGGTTTGTATACTGCGGATACGGGGGACTTTACGGTGCTTTTTGTACAAAAAAATAGGCGCTACTCCGTGATTTTAGGATTTAGATCGTTGGCTACTGATCAACAATGCGTATGTCGTAATGGTTCATTCTGAACCGTTATTTTCCTTTGGTTGCTTCATTTCGAACGAAGTATTCGATGTTTGAGCAGTTGAACCGGATGCAGCGGGAGCAACGGCGATCAGGAAAAATCGACGCGGGCAAGAAGCGGACACCCGTTAGAGGACCGGTCATATGGACCGCACGAGTTGTTCAGAAGCCAATTAACGTAGTTATAAGGAGCATAGTTCGAGAACACCGAAGGTTTTATTACGATTACCACGCGGAGGTAACGAGGTACCAGTATCAATCTTATCGAAGTTATCCGTACCTCGGAGTTTCTATCCGGCCGCGGTGATTACTACCAGTTAAAAAGTTTCATTTTACGGTGTTAATTTCAATCGTTCAGCGATTGAGCCGGGCTGATTTAATAATCGCGTGGTACGTGCGTTATGTAACCGAGATCTCGACGTTGGAAGGACGATCGAAGTGCAGTGCTCGAAGACACCCGTTAGAAGAGGCCGTCGATTCTTCTTCCGGCGTGCATACTGCGAGAGCGAAAGCGAAATCGGCAGTAACGTAACTTTTAATGTATGCCCGACGCGGCTCTCCAGAAATGCAGATTTCGAAGATAATTCGCTTTTCCTTCCGCCGGTCTGTAGAAAGCGACATCGTAACGAATTGCTGGATGTTTGCTCCTGAACGGATGAACGCGGAACGGAAACGCGCCGGTTGAACAACAGTATCCACGGTATCTGGATCCAATTAAAATGAGTTTGAACGTTCAACCAATTTCGCTCGGGTAATTCAATAACGCATCGATCGTGTACCAATGTGCGAAAACTACGACTGGAGGTTGAACTACTCTTCGAAAGTTTTCATCGAATAGAACATTAAGTTGCTAGATCTCATTGAATAACATTCCCCGTAATACAAATCAAACATTAATATCTACAAACGGTAATTACTCCAGTCAGCAACTAAACGATACAAAAACAAGAGAACATTCAAATAAACATATGGTACAAATGATCTCCGAGAACCACTTTTGGTTAAAACCAGCTGTTCATGAACGTTGTCGCAAAGTGCGAAGAACCCCGAGCCACCTGCAACGATTGAACATTAACACCAATAGGTCTTCCTCGGAAGTGCCTACCCGCAAACACTGGTTACTCCGATGAATGACTCAACGGAAATAAAAAGGCCGGAATATCGAAATAAACGGCATGATCTTCGAAAACCACTTCTCGCCCCGTTAAAGCCAAGCGGTAGCCCTGGTTTCGTGGACGGGGTCGGTCGAAAAATGCGGGGCGCACCGGATGATACGTACACCATTGTCCGTGTCGGTGCGGCACGCCGGACACCCGTTATATGGTAGTGTAGAGTAAGGGGAGGCGGGCCAGGTGGTCCGTCGGTGCGAATATCCATTATAGATTCGGCGGAGTGTAGCTGTCGTACGATCCTACTCATTTTCCGTGTATTCGTGCGCGCCGCGTATTTCTGGCATCGATGAGAGGGCGAGTGGGAGCGAGACGGCGACAGACCGGGCCACCAACACGCGGCAGCGCGACGCGCGTCGGTGAGACACGGGCGGCGCGCGAGTGTGGTCGTCGGTCGGGTTCCCGGAGAGGCGTGTTAGTTCGCGAGGGCGCCTGTGTCGGGTCTCGCGGCGCCACCGGTTCATTCCGCCATCGGCGCCCGCGACGCACGGACGTGGAGAGACGCGAGCACGATTCTCGTATCGGGCGGACAACGTGAAGAAACAAAAAAAGAAATACCGTCGACGGATTAAAAAACGCCTGAAAACGAAACAACGGAGAGCCGGTGAACTGGCGCGCGGACGACGGGTACGCGATCACCCGG